CCCGGTGTGTGTTTTCAGCCGCGTTAGCATGGATGGGGATTAAAACTGAAAGGGGGCCAAAAGGTTTGTGGACAGATATCGTTTTAGTTTAAAAACATAGTGGTATGGATGTTGCCTCACATAGACACGTGGTTTTGTCTCTGATGTACATGACCGAGCATCTCAGTGAGTAAACAGAGGGAGGCAGGTCAGGTAGTTACACGAGAGACGGCAGCTTTAATGTGCTCCTCTGCATCCTGACTGAGATGGTTTGTTGTCGTCCATAAGAAGGAGTTGCTCAGCTTGCACAAATCCCCGTAGCTCTGAAACCTGTGATCATCATGTCATTGTCCGCAGCAGTACACTCCAGGGACACTGCTTTCACATTATGAAACCAAGAGAGCTGCCCACAGCTCGACTTCTAATCACCCTTTGTGCACGGTGTGTGTGCGTGTGCGTGTTTGTGTACATGCAGGTTTTCTTTTTATGGTATCGGAGTGAAAAAAAGAGCTTCATGGATTAATGGTCATCTGTTTGTGAGCGTGTTTTTGCCAGTGTGTGTCCAGTGTGTGTCGCATGTTAAACATTAACTTTGTGCGTATGTTTGTGTCTGCGTGTGCATGAGTCACTTTCCATATTTAATAGGCAATAGAATAACTGTCTCTTCATCAGCTCTCCTGAGATCACAATAGTAACTGTCGTGTGAATCAGAATTCTCCACATTTTCCCAAAGATTATGAAAAAACACTTTTTCTTTGAAAAACACTGTTCAAACAGGCTGTATGTGAGGCCTTTTCATAAGTGACTTTCCAAGATGAGCTCCACCATCCGTCCCCAGTGCGCCATAAACAAACGACAGTTACTCTCTACCAGGAAGAGAAGGGAGGGAAAAAAGGGTAAGCAGCTGAATGTGGAAGGCAGGAGGGGAGGAGGAAACAACTTGACAGGACATCTTATCTTCACTGTGTTCTCCGCAGCTCAGGCTTTAAGCTACTTGCTGAAAGGTGGAACATTGAATTCATGCAGCAGGTTTTCTCTTGCTTTTTTTTTTTCTTTCACTTTTTTTTCCTAGCTGCTCTTGCTGAAAAAGGCTGAAGGAAAAACAGATACTATTCACAAGTCGTCTCATTTGTGCTTTCATTTGGTTGGTGCAGAGCGTACATTCAAACTGTGTGTATCTCTCGTCTTTGTCTCCTCAGGACACTCGCAAATAAACACACAAATGGAGGTTGTCAAACAGACAACACACAAGCATGCATGCACACAAACACACAGACACACACACACAATTTCAAATGTCCCATCTGTATTCCAAACACTGACGAAAGGTTATTCCTGCTACCACAAACAAGATGTGTTTAGAGTGACTTTTCCAGTCAGAAAAAGTAAATTCTATCAAATCTTCAGCTTGTGACTGTGGTGTAATATATCATCTATTCCTCTGACTTCAGAGGTACATTAACCTGCTGACACCAAAAGATCAAATAACAGGTCTTTGTTTTAATTGAATTGTTTGAATCATCAGTGCAAAAAAATTCTGAAACACTGGAATAATATTTGCTTTTGCTTTTAAAACATAAAAAAAAATGAGACGTGTGCATCCAAGTTAAATTTTTCTTCCAAAACTTTTACATTACCTTTCTGAAACACATTTAAATTCACTAGATCTGGATTTTATATGGATTAGCACCAAATTGCACAAACTCATCAGTCTGCTAAACAAGCATGATTTTTTTTCATCAAGATCCAAGAATTATTCCCTGGGAAATCAATACCCTCCATGGTGGAAGTAAAAATGTGTAATTCATAAAATAAAAACAGAAGTAAAAGCACTGGTCAGCGTTGGAAGCTTTGTAATAGTTTTTGAGAACTTCTTTGCCACTCGTTTCCTTCCCTCTTCACACTTGCCACAGCCTTGTTTCCAAATGACGTTTTGGCAATTCCAGGGTTAATGAGGTAGTAACAAAGCTATTAATCAATACCCCCTGTTATCAGAGGAATAAATAACATCTCAAGAACATTAGCGCCAGCAAACCTGACGCCTGCAGGGGTTCGATACCTCCAATGTGTTTTTTTTCTAATATTGACACTGCAGTAAAATATTTAATGCATTTAGAGTTGCAGTGTATATTAGAAATGCAGCCATGTAAGTGTACGAAGAAGAAGAGGAAAATCCAGCTTGAGGCTGTCTAACATTGTCATCACTGAATTAGTTGTGGTTGACCTAATGCACCTTGTTTGAAAGCTATTTCATGGTCTAATTGTTGCTCATGGAGAATATTAAAGTTGCTCCATGTCTGCTCACATCTAAAGGCCAAGGAGAGTGCTGCTGGTGAGCAAGGCTGTTGGTGTCAAAATACAAAATGTTTTGGGCGTAAACCTCACGCACTCTTAAGCAGAACATGTAAACATTTACACAGGGCTATGAGTCAAGCCGTTTTCTCCTGACCTTTTTTTTCTCCTCCTCTTTCTGGGTTGTTCTCTATTTTCTATTGAAATCCCCTTTACGCAGACCCTGTTTGTCTGTGTTACTTTTACCGATCAGCCTTCCTGTTGCTGCAGAGGAACTGTGAGCAGTGAGATAAGTAGACTGTGAGCACATGCTTGCATTTGGGGAAGTGGGGAGGGGAGAAAAAGTAACAGATACAACATGAAGGGCAAAGTGCTGGCTAATTAGGAAATAAACAGAGGTCATCGTCGGCCTCCTTTGAGCCGAATGCTCTCAGCGGCAGCAGTGAAACTCGGCGGTGGAATGAACTATCGGAAGAGTTCTTTGTGAGGCTCTCGGTGCTGAGGAAGAGATAAATCTCAAACAAACCTGCACGGGCAAGGATTAAGGAGACCTCCATAAATCCAGGGAACAAACTGAGGATGTGAGAAGATGGGAAATGGAGCTTAAGCATCTAGGGCCTGAGGATCACAGCGCTGGATATGCATGTTGATGCACTTTGACTCCTCTGGCATGAGACACGTGGGAGCGCAGGACTAAAGGGAGGATCAGAGCCTTGTTATTAGATCCTGCCCTGGTTTAAGGACAGTTTGCACCACGTACAACAGGTGCTGCGCGTCCATCTGCCTCAGACGTGAGTTGACGCACTAAATAGTAGATGAGGGGGGACTGCGTGGGAGAGGGGGCGGCTGAACAGACGAGACAGCCGATATCAGTGGAGGCTGAGGGAGTTTTCTTTCACTGGTCAGCCCCAGCAGGGCCAGAGCGGGCAGCGATGAGTCAGAGGAAGCTGACACGACAGCTGAGGTTGTGGGAGAGTCCTGAGGGTCCGGCTCCTGTGCCCTCTCTCACCTCACCCCTGTCACCGGTCGATCAGCCTCGTGGACACGGCGGCTCGGCTCTGTTTCGGCGTATGAAACTGAACCGAAGTATTCAGGACCACAGCCGCTCATCACTCTGTATTTGCAGGTATAGTTCTGCAACCGAGCCACTGATCTGTAATTTTGCCCAGTCCTCACAGACCTATCGTTTTTATATTCCACAAGAAAAAGTTGAAGGTGAGGTGTGTGTTTGTGTAACGAGACTGTAATATTACACCCTGAAGAAGAATATGTTCCCTGCACATGCTGCTATGACACTTGATGGGTTAGAATTTTGGCGTGCTGCATTCACAAGACTCAAGTCTCATAATTACTCTCAAAGTTGTCAGGAAAAAAATGTATTAATTAAAAACAAGGATTAGCGTGTGCAGCTTGCAGAGGTCCCCCCTGGCAGACGTTTGTTTTTTTTCATTACTGAAGAAACTTGTTTAATGATAATGATATCTGTCGCCGTACAGTCACATTCAGCCTTCTGGGGGGAGAGGAGTTGCTTCTAATTGGCCAATTTAGAAGTAAATTCTAAAAATATCACACTTCATACTTAATTTTAGAAGTTGAAGTGAAAGCTGCTCACAAGCGTGTTGGCAAGTAATGTTTAGGAGGAGTGGGGAGGTGCTGAGGAGATAAAAGTTATACTACATTATAAATAGATGCTGCAGCTACACCGCAATATTCTTCACTATCTGCTGTCGTCGTCCAAACATTTCACTGCGGCAGGAAGGTGACAATTCTATATAAATATCATAATATAAAAAACCCAGAAACAATTTCAGCAGTTTCTCTTTTTTTTTTTTACAAATGTTTCAGATAAATTGAGATTTGTCCTATTAATGCGAAAAGTCAAAAAGACATTTTTCTTCTGTGATACCAAACCCTCTTCAATCAGTAGTGACTTAATTTCCTTGCTGCGAGATCGACTGTTATTTAATCTAAGAAGAAGTTGGTGTGAGGTTGTTTTTAATCGAGGGCTTGCTGGCGGATAAAGGCTTCCATGACTGCAGGTGTTGGTTAAAAGGGTATGAGTGTAACTCGAGAAGCCTTTGGGTTAAGCCCGACTTTGAATGCATCTGGCAGATTAGTTTCTGCCTTGTGTTTTGGATTTAATGTTAATCAGGCATGTGCTGGTCCGATGCTGGGAGGACAGATGCTGAGTGGACAGATGCTAAGCGGACAGATGCTGCGTTTGACCCCAAAACTGAAAGGGAAAAAAAACCCAATAAAACCAATAATGTCAATGTCAACCTTGACTCTTTTTCTCTGTTTCCTGATGTTAAATAGAAAGCTCCAAATCTGGTGTCCAATAAGAGGTTGTTTTGTAAACCTAACCACTCGATCATTCTCGTCCTCAGACAGCTTTGGCTCGAAGAGAAGCCGGGGATGATGCGGTTCATTTTGTTCACTTAATTTGCTCCAAAATATGACTTATTAGTAAAGTGTAATTCCCAAGGCACCTCTGTGGCAGTCTGCCAATCCAACAACTCTGCAGAGTCGCAGCTGTATGGGTTTAATGCTGCAGCTTCTGTGACACATTTCTCTATTTCACTTCCTCTCAGAAACTACCAACACTAGCAGATGGTGAGAGCGGGTTGTGTTTGGATGTTAGGGTGTATCTTGACACATTTTGGTGTCACTATCAGATAAGAATGTAAGAACTTAACCCGATTGCCTCCCTGTCTTCTCTAACCCTTCAGCTTCGATTCGGAGAATGGTCCCTCGCCAGGCCGCAGTCCCATGGATTCGCAGGCGAGTCCAGGGCTGGTGCTCCACCCTTCCTTCCCCCAGAGTCAGCGCAGGGAGTCCTTCCTGTACCGTTCGGACTCCGACTACGACACATCCCCCAAAACCATGTCACGCAACTCCTCCATCAACAGTGAGGGGTAAGCACGTAGCCATCGTCCTGGATCAATCACGTGGCAGAAACATGTTTATTAAACCCGCACTCACCCAGACACACACAAATGCAGACACACATACATTATCCAAATCAATCCAGCAATGGCTTTGGTTGTAATTATGCAGGCAACACACTCATAAAATGCTGATGAACTGCTGTGCTCTGTTTCCTGGCTTGTCTTTTGCTAAATCAAAACTACCTTCATTCCATTAGGGTGTTTCAGGATGATTTCTCTGTTTAGATCCACATAGGTCTTTGTAAACACCCAGCTTTCAGACACAGCTTCTCATATAAACACTAATATCGAGCGCCTCAGCTGCCCAGACCGCTCACATTCATCTCATCCCCCACTCTTTTTTCTTTTCAAATGTTGTCCTGCAGGCACGCCGAAGACATGATCGTCACCCCTTTTGCTCAGGTATGTTCTGCGCGCCTTTTCAGACAAGTGCAACCACTGTAGAATTATTAGAGAAAGGTGGATAATTAGTGCAGTGAACTTGTCCCACCCTGACCCCACCTCTTCCTCCCTCTTCCTCCCCCTTCCTCCCCCTCTCTTTCCCTCCTACGCTGTCCATCCGTCCCCCAGGTGTTGGCCAGCCTACGAACTGTAAGAAGCAACTTCACCATCCTCGCCAATGTCACAACACCCACTAACAAGTCAGTATCATGCTGTCAAACTCCCCTTCCCCCCACTCACACTTGTAATGACTGCCTGCTTTGTTTGTGGTGTGTGTTTTACTGACGTCTCTCTCGCTCCTGTGGGGAAACAGTTTTGCCACCATGAATAACCAGTTTATCTTTATCAGACCGTGCTCAAGGAAAATATGATCTACATTATTTGGCATCTCTCTGACTCCGGTTGGCGGATGACTGAGCGCAGAGAGCACCATGCCTCGGATGCATGTCCCTGACTCTATTCCCAGACAATGCAGCCGGTCAATAGCACTAAAATTATTTTCCTTTGTAATGCAGTAGGAGCTGGAGCTGGCAGGCTTTTAGCTCCATGCCAATATGATATATAAAGCAATGCACCACTGAATTAACAGCATCTATAATAATGTGGTGTTGTGCCTCCTTCACTACACAATTAAACAACCACGATGGCTATTTGAGAGGTGAGCACAGTTCAGGCTTTGTCCCTGACTATTTTGGATATTTCAATATTTGAAGTGAAACTGGATAATTTTTCAAAGGGAAATTAAGAAATGAACACATTGCAATGTTATCCAGTTTTCAACGACATGCACTCGTCTGTTTCTCGCTTGAAAATGCTTAACTCACATGAAAATATTTATATCCCTTGTCTGTGAGCCAAGCCTTTTGTTGCCTCACCCTGTGATGCTGAATGTGTGTTGAACCCCAGCAGGGGGCAGCAGTGTGTTGTTCTCCTCCTCATGTAACGAGATGTTTGTCCACAGGAGGTCACCAGTGACAAGCCAACCCACTGTTCCCCAAGCTACACTCTCTGGTGAGTTGTCAGCTAATTCAAAACTCTGGGTCCAAACAGTCCCACAGTCCCCTCTCACAGATTTAAGGACATTCTGGCTCCCACACTCCCTGAAAGCATCATGAGCAGACTAAACGACTGCAGAACTTACATTTTAGGAGACTGAATGGATATAAAAAAATATGATGCTTAAGCTGTAGTAGATATATATTTTATGAAAAAAATGAACTTAAAGTCAATAACTTTTTATTTGTCAATGAATACATTTCTACTCTAACTACACTGAGACTGAGAGAAAATTCCTTAAAGGGATAGTTCACTCATTATCCGCTCACCACTATGCCGATGGAGAGTCCACAAAACACTTCTGGAGTTTCCTGGGTAAACCCCGTTGCAGCTAAATCCAATACAATTGAAGTAAATGGTGACAACTTCCTCAAACATATAAAAACTACAGATAAAATCATAAAATGCCTCAATACTGCTCCTCTGGAGCATTGTTAGAAAATGGATCACAGTAAACATTTACGCTAAAAACATGTTGTAAATGACACAGTTTTGAGTCAATTTTGGGGATTTTATCTATTATGATTTTATCTGTTATTTTTGTACATTTGAAGAAGTTGTCACCATTTACTTCAATTGTATTGGGCTTGGCTGCAAAGCTGTTTACCCCTGAAACTCCAAAAGTGTTTTGTGGACTCAAAAACGTCCCCCACCCCTCCATCGGCATAGTGGTGAGTTGATAATGAGTGAATTTTGGGGTGAACTATCCCTTTAACTGACATTAAAAATGTTTTAGTTTTAACCAAATATACGAATGAGGCATAATCAATGTTTTCTGATCATAAAAAAGTAAACTTTAAATAAAACTTAAAATTTAATATTTCTTTAAAAAAATTTGAAACGTATCTTTATATTGGTAAAGTGTATAAAAATATGTTTGATTAGTTTTAGGGGTAAAATGTGACATGTTTTAGTTTTGTTGGTGGATTTGCCCTTGACTGTTCATTTTAATTACAAGCTGAAGCATATTTTCCCCAAAAAGGCATTTCAAAACACATTCACTGTTTTGTGGAAACTCAACTGTAAATCCAGTTTGTGTCGATTTACTGAGCTGCAGGACAGAACCGTAAGACCCACATATCACTTTAAACAAATATTTTATCAGGCAGTCACTGCTTTATGCTACTGTTGTGCTCTTCTTCTCCTGCTGGTTTATATATGCTGTGTATTGTGTGTGTCCTTCCCAGAGGAGACATACCAGCAGATGGCACGGGAGACTCTGGAGGAGCTGGACTGGTGTCTGGACCAGCTGGAGACCATTCAGACCCACCGCTCAGTCAGTGAGATGGCCTCCAACAAGGTGCACACCCATCCACACACACAGTCATGTATTTACTGACTATCATCATGAACATATATACGGTTGATTTCAATATATCACCAAGTCATGAGAAAGGTATTTAATGGACTGCCGCTGTGCACAAAATATGCAATTGCTTACTTCCTGTTTAAGATTACACAAACAACACAGCTCAACCATATGGAAGTGAAGCAAAAAATAGAAACCTTTTGGGTTAGAAACACCTCGATCTGGTGCAGCCCACCTCTGATATTACACATTGATCCTCCACAGATTGTTTGGAGACTCTGCTCTTGAAGTAATCACGTGCTGGGTTGTGAATTAGCAGCAGCAGGTCTTGAAAGTGTGTTTCCTGGGTTTATTTGCAGCCTTGTGATAGTAATTGCATTGGTAAATAATTAATGTGGGCTGTACCAAATATGTGGTAAACCATCTTGGTAAATTAAATTGACAAATATTATTGGTTGCCGTGGTTAAGCGTTTGTGCTCGTAATGGCAATGACGTGCAGGGTTGGATTTTGATGCATTCTTTATCACTACACATCTACATGTCTGTGTGTGTGTGCACATGGGCAGGCTCCTTATGCATTTGTACAGTATTTGTGGAGACATCGGGAAAGGAGAGAGAGAGAGAGAGAGAGGGAGGGAGGAGGGAGAGTGAAGGTCTGTGGGTGGGGAGGACATGAGAGGGAGGGGGAACTGGTCCTGATGCTGATGTCTCTGCTGTAACCTTGGTTGCTATCGAACAGCAGCAGGGTCTGCCCTTCCCTTTTAGTCATTGGCTTGCCACTCTGACCACGAGCCATGTGGTTTGGGCAACAACCAATGACATAGAGGCAATGCTCCTTTAATTGTGCTCGGTTTTAAAGACACAGCACTGTATACCTTTATTATAGACATCCTTCCCATATTGCACTCAACAGTTAATTAATGGTGTGGTTCTAACAATGACAGAGGGAGAGATAACAGTGGAATGCTTTGTGGACATCATTTGTGTCCGTGTGAGTGCTTTTATGTGTGTGAATATACAATGTGCAAAGAGAAGTCTCCTGGGGTAAACAGAGTCTCTGTGAATATGTTACTGCCTTTTAGCAGCCACAACCAGGCTGCAGAAATCCTACGCACTGTGCCAACATGGAGGTACACACATGAATATTCCCACTCAGTCTCTCACTCTCACTCACACCCTCACTCACACACATATTTCCGACAGACGTACATGCTGTCTTGTCGCACATGCGCACTCGGGCTCGGAGCGGAGGCAAGCACAGACACACACACGCACGCGCCTGCAGCCACACTGCCTGATTAGCTTGCGAGAGCTGTCTACAGCATCCAGGGAAATGGCGCAAGAGGCAGAGCATTGGAGGAGGAACGGCAGCCTAAAGCTGCAGGATTAGACCTCTGGCGTTTTTGGCCAGCTGAGGCATGGATTGACTTGGAGCAGGTCACTGGGCTACAGAGCTATCAGGACGCAGCCCGATTGACTATGGACTGACTGTGTGTTGCTGAGATCGGTGTGAGGCAGCACAGACAGGGTTGATGCACGGGTAGGACTGGGCCGGGCCTCTGGATCCGTACCGTGGGGGAGGGGCAGTCGACGCAGGGAGAGGGAGCGTGTTTTTCCAGACCACATCTCTGGTGTGATTCTTCAGCCTGACCGTCTGCTACAGGCCTGCCAGCTTCCCTCTGTCTCTTTCTCTCTCTTCCTCTCCATCCTTGTTTTCCTCCTGCTATCATCATCTATTTCCCTCTTTTTCCCTTCCCCGATGTTCCTGCTGCCATCCCAGCTCCCCTCACCTCCATCGTTAGATACCACAGTCCTCTTTATGCTCTGCCATCACCAACTCTTCAGTCCTCTCACCTCCATCATCTGAATTTTTATTACTGTTTGTAAAGCAGCACACTTCTCACAACATCATTTTTTTTCGCTTACATCCCTCTCACATTCCCTCTCCTTTCCTCCAGTGGCTCCTCTCTGTGCCCTTCAGACGGTCCCTCACTCCCTCTCCCCCTCTGTTTCCCTTCATCTTCCCTTTTTCGGCTCCCATCCACCTCTACCCTGCAGTGACTGTAGATTTGGGTCAGTCTGCTCAGCAAATGGGATGAGATGTAGTCTCCACAGCAGCCGGATCCAGGGGGCTCCTGGTCTGCCCATCAGGGGGACCCTCATCTTTGGACCACACTGAGGCTGGAGCCTGACTCTGGACTGACTGGGTGGCCTGCTTTGGGGTGCTGCATGTAGGCAAGGACAGTCTGCACCAGCAGCCCCTACCCTCACCCCTTCCCCTGTTCCTTCGCCCCCTCTTGGGGCAGCCGTCACTCTGGAGTGTCCCGGCTTGACTGGCTGTGGCCTCTCCCCACACACCCGGACGACGCCCTCATGCCACTGGGGCACCTGCAGCGCCCCCACCCCACTCCACTACCGCACCTCCTGCCTGTGCCATCGGCCCAAACCCCCTGTCACCCTCAACATGGGTGTGGTGGAGGCCATTGACCCGACGCCATCCTCCTGTCCCTCACCTGTACCAGGGGGCTACAGGCTGCCCCGCTCCTCCAGCTACAGCCCCCTGCAGGGGAGGGCTGGGGCAGAGCTGGACCTTGGTGCAGCGGCTGGAGGGGTTCTGGAGGGGGGTGGGACGGCAGCAGAGCGCAGGACGCCCTTAGTGGACCTGTTCTGTGAGACCTGCTCCAGGCCCTGGCTCATCGGCTGGTGGGACCAGGTAGGGCTCGGAGAGCTTGCAGAGGGCAAACAAGGCCTGGCATTGGCCATCTTGGATAATATACAGTGGACTCCTCAAGTGTTTTTGCTACATGTGCAAACAACTGATGTCTTTGCTAACTACATGTTCTTACCTGTCTTTTTTCTTAATCCAACAGTGATAGGGACAGTTTGAATGTTTTTAAGGGAGGGTCTCAGAACCTCAGAAATTAGACACTGAATTTATGTGGGGACGGATGGTTTTGTGTGTCAGACAGTGGAATTGTGAGAAACTGTAGAACAGAATATTTGTGAGCGTGTTTGTTTACATAATTTATACATGAATCACAGGAACAGGGAGCTGAGATAGCAGTACAGAGTTTATTAACTCTGCTCAGTGTTTCTATATTGCAGCAGCACTGTAAACAAAAACACAATATCAATCTCAGTCTTCCTCCTTTCAAAACTCCAACACACCAAGCTGCTTACAGTCTAACAAACAGCTGTGGGACTCTGTGATGTTTAGTCAGACATCTGCAGGTACATTGGAGTGTCACATAATGTCCATTTCTACACCTGCGTCCCACATCCCTCCATCTTTCTCTCTCCTGCTTCTCTGAGGCTGGCCTCAATACAGGCTTAAGGAGGCAGAGTAGAGTGAGGACGATGCTTATTGTCTCAGGACGGAGTGGCTGTTTCTTTATGTTCCAGTTTAGGTGTGAGAACAAAAAAACATATGATATCAGATGTTGTGGGAAGTCTTTTTAGATATGTCAGATTTGCATTGGCTGTATTACCAAAACAATGTTTCATCTCTACCCTTTTATTGAAAGACAATGTTTATATTATTTTACCTGAGTAGGTCACATTTTCCCTTTGTGCATATATATTTGCATTGTTTTCATGAATGTAGTTAGACGATAAAGCTGTCCTTGGTCCCTCACATATACACGTGTATGATTGTGTGTTGGTGTCCGTGGTCATGTCTCTGCAGCATTTGCATGTTTGCTTCATTAGTCAGTGTCAGAGGAAGAGTGTTGTTTGTCCTGGCACTTGGACTGGCACTGTGGAAGTGTTGGTTGGCAGCTATGACTCAGCGTTACAGCATTAGGGAAGGAAGGAGCGAGAGACTGCCAGAGAGAAGAGGAGGTGGTTTGGTTTGAGCCTGATGCCGAAGTGTGCCACTACACTGGACTAGATATCATGGCTTCTGATGACCCTGCGGCCTCTACAATTTGTTGTCAGAGCACCTGTTTGCTTGGCCTATCATATAATGAGCTCCTGACTGAAAAGGATGGTCGCAAAAAAAAGAGATAATTGATAGGAAAAGAGGGATAGATGGTGGGAACACAAGCTGTGTGTGAAACGGCTGAGAGGCAAAGTGGAGCCTGTGACGGAGCAGGATTTTGGTGCTCGGGGGCAGTAGTGGAAAGTGTTGTTTACCTTGAGAGGGTGGGAGGAGCAGATGTTAGCAACAGAGAGGCGTAGAGAGGAAGACAGCAGTAGAGGGGAGGGTTGACCTTGGCAAAGGTCAGAGACACCTGCCTCCTGCCTCAGATTGTCACCCAAGCAGCCACTGCTCTCACATCAAGCTGAAGGACTGACTGTGAGGAGGCAGTTGCCACGGCAACCGCTCTGGTTGCCATGGAGATTGTTATGTGTGAAAGATCAGTCAGTAGGACACAGACAGAGGGGTCTTGTCCGAATCGCATTGTGGCTTATGCGATGGAGAACCGTTGAGCCTCCATAGATTTATTGATTGACACAAATAAAAGACATCAAATCTGAGAGAACATTCAGGAAGACTGTTTTCTGTCTGCAGGGATAATGTATTCACATAATCACATTTGTGTACATACTGCAATGACCTGCTGACTACCTGCTCATGATTTCCAGAGCAGATGTATGGAGAACAATGCATATAATGATGCCGTGTTACAGTAGCATATCAACACATACAATCTAAATGCAAGCACACTCTTTTGGGGTATTGAACATTATGTTCTCATCTGAGACAGAGAAGAGGCATGATTCATAATTGATTTTCTCACTCTTTAGTGAATAAAGCCAGACTTACTCATATGTGAATCACAGAAATGTTTTTTTTTCAATGAAAATTGAACCTTAAGTACAACTTGAACAATTCTGAAGGTTAAACAAACCTGTCTGTAACCCTTTATGCTTTTTTATTTGCAACTGCTGTACAAGGTTCTCACTATCTCTGTCCTCCCCCCCTAGTTCAAGAGGATGTTGAACAGGGAGCTGTCCCATTTGTCAGAGATGAGTCGCTCAGGGAACCAGGTGTCAGAATACATCTCCACTACCTTTCTAGGTAAATCAAACCCACCAGACATTTGTGTCCATCCAGTATAGCATGTACCCTTATAGCTTTGACCCAAGGTCAAGCACAATCCTCCATAAGTCTCCATCCTGGCTGACCTTTGACCGTTGATCTTTCCTAGATAAGCAGAACGAGGTGGAGATCCCATCCCCGACCTTGAGGGAGCGAGAGAAGCCCATGTGTCACATCAGCGGTGTGAAGAAGCTCACGCACAGTTCCAGCCTTTCCAACTCCACCATGCCTCGCTTCGGCGTGAAGACTGAACACGAGGATGCATTAGCCAGGGTAAATAGATGGAAAAGCGACCTATCAAAAGACAGGCACAATGTATTTCCTGTCACCTTGCTCCACCCATCCACCCATCCAACTTTCCATCTATACATCCAATAGCTTTGCTGCTCATCAACCTAACACAAACTGCTGGAAAGTTGTGCTGATGCACGCCATTGTTGTCCGTTGTGCCCTCAGGAGCTGAACGACTTGAACAAGTGGGGCCTTAATATCTTTCGTGTGGCAGAATTCTCTAATAACCGACCCCTCAGCTGCACAATGTTTGCCATCTTCCAGGTGAGTGAGAGAAACCAGGCTTTCACAACAGATTATATAGTAGCCTATAACATGTATCTTCATTTATCTGTGACCATGACCCCCCTGTGGACTTTCCTCACTGCAGGAAAGAGATCTATTGAAGACCTTTCGGATCCCAGTGGACACATTTGTCACCTATGTAATGACCCTGGAGGACCACTACCATGCCAATGTGGCTTACCACAACAGCCTCCATGCTGCAGATGTCACTCAGTCAACTCATGTACTGCTTTCCACACCAGCTCTAGATGTAAATAACTCTACTGGCTTTCCAATGACAACACCAAATGCACGGATAGCCTTGCGTGCACATACTTCTATAAATACTAGGCCTAAAAGAAAACAGTCATGCTGCAGTTCTGATTGTTTTTGTCTCTTCTCTGTCAACGCTCTCTGACAGGCGGTGTTCACTGATCTAGAGATTCTAGCTGCGTTATTTGCCGCTGCCATCCACGATGTGGATCATCCAGGAGTGTCCAACCAATTCCTCATAAACACCAGTGAGTCTAAATGCGATTAAGAAACATACTCGTATTAGAATAAAATTACTAAATACTAGTTATGTACATTTTTGATGGATTATATTAAAACAATCAAATAATTTGAGTGAAATAATAATTAATTTAAACATACTTATCTGGCCTCATGATTATTTTATGTATTAAATGTAATTTCATTTTTTTTATGTTTGTCTTGACTGCTGTCATTATAATTTAGAATGAGAAAAACTTATTTTACATTTATTATTTTTTGTTGTTTTTGGATGGATGAGTTTGTTGTGTGAATTGTGGCTTTTCAGCTGTTCTAAATGGAGAAGCACGTCTTTGGATTAATCTGCAGCCTGCTAATCTTTTCATTCTTCATTTTCAACTCTTCATTTATGACATTATACAGTTGCCGCCAGTTTCTGGTGATGAGAGCATTCTGATGTTGTCGACGGAGTGATGCAGTTACTGTTTGTGTCTTTGTGGCTCACGTGTTGTATTGTGCCTCCCTCAGACTCAGAGTTGGCCCTCATGTATAATGATGAGTCTGTGTTGGAGAATCATCACCTAGCTGTGGGCTTCAAGCTGCTTCACGAGGACAACTGTGACATCTTTCAAAACCTCAGCAAGAGGCAGAGACAGAGCCTGAGGAAACTCGTCATCGATATGGTGATTGTCGTCCACACACTTATTCTGTATGACGGAGATATCACTTGATGAAAATATAATCTGGCACATTTAGGGAAATGTCTTCTTTGTGTGTGAAATTTGGTGCAGCTTGATTGAATTTAAAGGGACTGTTAGGCCTTGACATTGGTATGTGCACGTCTGAGTGCCACTCTAATGTATTCATATCAATCTCCCCTCTCTCCAGGTTTTGGCAACAGATATGTCAAAACACATGAGTTTGTTGGCAGATCTCAAGACGATGGTGGAAACCAAGAAGGTGACGAGTTCTGGAGTACTGCTGCTCGACCACTACACTGATCGGATACAGGTGAGATGAATTCAATTTTGACGGTTAGCAAATGTTCTGAGTCAGTTCCAAAGCACTGAAATGGTATGTGCAGCTAATTCAGGGTGCTATAAAAGCAAAAAGGGTTTTTAGGAAATCTTGGCAGTAAGGTTCTGGAGTTAGAGTGACAGGATCGGTTTGGAACCCATCTCAGGGTTAGGGTTAGAGGTTAGGGTAATTTATGTTTCTGTGTGGCTCCTGTGGCATCTTTGTTGGATGCAGCTTGTGTGTGGGTGACACGACCTTGTCATAATTTATGTGCCCCTCGTCAAAATGTCATGCTATGGCTACACAGGGTACATACAAACCAGAAGAAGCTGTATCTTAATGGATCAGGCGAACTGTTTGGAGATTACAAGAGGTTAAACAATGCTGGATCTCATTAAACCCTCTGTTACAAATCCTCCTATGCTCTAATTGTTCTTCTTATGCCCTTGGATATTTTTGTGCAACAAGTCTGTCAAAGTTCCCCAACCAATAGAATGCCAAGTGTAGTGATGATGAATGGAATTGCTCCGGCCTTGTTTTGGTTACTATTGTTGTTGGTATTGTTTCCATAAGAAACAGGGTGGTCTCTGCTTTGTTTTTATAGTTGCTAGCAACAGTGTTCCCATAACAATCCTAAATGAGATCCTTGATTTAGACGCTCCATGTTGTCCAGCGATGAGCTTGACTGGTCAGGTCTGTACGAGTTAGTCTTTAGTCTAGCCTTTAGCCTAGCGCATAGCCCGGTTCTCAAAGACATAGAAATAACAAACCCACATGAGGGTGAAGCAGTTTCATTGGTAATCACCTTGCATTCTATTGGTTGGGGATATTTTGACAGACTTGTTGCACAAATGAATCCAAATTGAGAGTACACGTTCAGCGTGCACACTAGAAGCAGTGTGAGACAAACTTAAAGGTCCAGTGTGTAAGATTTAGATGAAATGGAACTATTGGCAGAAATTTAATGTAGAATAATCCTCATGATGTTTTCACTAGTTCGTTTCATCTAAATTTTATGAATTGTAGTTTTCTTTACCACAGATAAGGACCTTTATATTCAAATATTTATATTTACATCGAGGGGACCCTTTCTATGGAGGCTACCATGTTTTTTTACATTAGTCCAGACTGGACAAACTAAACACTATTTGAGTTTTTATTACAATTAAAGGCTACCACAGTTTCTTTTCCACGAGAGGGTGAGGTGAGGGGTGTTCAGCTGCAACATGCAGTTTCAACACTAGATATCACAAAATTCTACACACTGTACCTTTAAGAAAGTAATGTTGCTTTTTGAAAATGACAAACATACAACATCAAACTTAGTGACAAGATTTTTGAGAGGAAACTGAAAGAACGAGCAAGAGTGGAGGGGAGGGAGGCTAAGCCTCTTAATTTTAGAGACAGAAGCTTGGACAGCGTAACGCAAATAATCCATGTGCATTTCTGCATTCAGGGTGGTGTATGTTTACAATGATGCTTATACAGCAGTGTGTGTGTTTTGCAGGTGTTGAGGAACATGGTGCACTGTGCTGACCTGAGCAATCCTACGAAGCCCCTGGCTGTGTATCGACAATGGACGGAGAGAATCATGGAAGAGTTCTTCAGGCAGGGAGATAAGGAGAGGGAGCGAGGGATGGAGATCAGTCCCATGTGCGATAAACACACAGCATCTGTGGAAAAGAGCCAGGTGAATGATCCGCACTGAAACACACATGGTAACGATTCTGCACACAACAGGATAACTGTTAATGCCGAATGTGGGGCGATAACTGCAGCGCAGAGTGATCTGTCATCTCTGATCACAGCAGTCACCCTCATACATTTTAATGGAGATTTGCAGCAGGTGAAAATGACACCACTGTGCTATAGCTGATATGTCAGTTATACTCTTCTTCTCATGTTTCAGGTGGGATTCATCGACTACATTGTCCACCCGCTGTGGGAGACATGGGGCGACCTGGTGCACCCTGACGCCCAGGACATCTTGGACACTCTGGAGGACAACAGGGACTGGTATCAGAGCACTATCCCACAAAGCCCCTCGCCCCCTCCTGTTGGCCAGGACAAGGATCTGAACGCCTGCATGGACAAATTTCAGTTTGAGCTCACCCTCGAAGACAGCTCTCAGAGAGATCAGGGAGACGAGGGTGACAAATCCACACCAAACCACGTGGTGCAGGTCAGTCAGGGAGAGGAGGAGGATAAAAAAGAAGAAGAGGAAGATACAATGGCTGAGGGGGAAATTGAGGACATAATAGAAGAAGAAGACGAGGTGGCAATGGATGAAGAGGAGGTGGAGGAGGAGGAGCTGAAGGCTCATCTGGAGGTGAGATCGGAAAAGGAGAGACTTTCTGACACAAGTCCTGTAGAGGAAGAGGAGGATTCTTCTTCACAAGCTGAAGATACATGAGTTCTACTCCTGTATCTCCCTCCTCACTTGCACACATTAACTTGTTCATCCTTCCCATGGCCAAACCAAGAACAAATAAGACTGCAATGACAATACAGACCTTTAAATATATTTTTCAAAAAGGGAAAAAATTAAAAATTGCTTAAAGAGAAGTTAATTACACAGCAACTGTAGATTTGGAGCGGTGACAAGTCCTTCGGCTGATTTTCACGATGAACTTTGGACTAAGGGGAATTTAGAGGAGCATTAACGAAGGACAACTGAAGACGGCGTAGCACTCTGGGACTGGAAATGCACACACATAAACACACATGAAGTGACACACGCACATGAGATACAAGAGCAGGAGTTACAAAGAACACACCAATGCAATGTGTGAGTGCCTGCACCGTCATGTGGGACAGTGTAGTCAATATGTACACACACTTGACTGTATGTTTGTATGTGTGCATTTACATGAGGGACACTGATCAGTAAAGAATCTCTTTGGAAAAAGCCATCTCTTAACGAAGTATTAACTAGTGTTCAGTCAGTATTAGTAATTCATGTTTGTTAGAATCTCCTCAGAAAAGCTACAGTCCAAGTGACTTTTTTTCCATTTCTGTCGGAAAGAAAAAATAAGAGTATCCATAGAGTTGGAGGAGGACGAGGAGAGAGGAAGAAAAAAAATTGAAGGAAAGGAAGATGCTGCGACGAAGGGGCCACCGGGTCCCATACCCCTTTTCCCTTTACGAGGAGAGTGCTACTGGTGCAAGATGGCTCTGTGCCTTTCTGAAACACCAGCTTCCTGATTGGAGCTGTCGTGAAGCAATGCATTGTGGGACAGGAGTGTCTGATTTTGTTATCATTTTTGATTGTCTCTCGTTCAAGATCTCTCTTTATTGTTCATGGTATCGTGGTGTGTATCTCACACGTACAGTTTCTGTGGTGATATGTTTTACGCTGTAAGTCTTCCTTTTGTTGCTCTTCTGGTGATACAATAACTCAGAATTCTAGATGCAGAGCAATCACTACCATCATCACCACAGCCACCAGTGGACTCTTTCCAGCTTATGGTTCTTTCTTATTAGAATGATTTCTTTTTTACTTTCTGAGAATAAGCCATGAGATGCTTCGAAGCATAAGTTTTGCCTATTTTCTATTTAACACTTGCTTAATATGTTGAAGGGATACGGAATTATTTCATCAGCAGGACAACTCGCTCATCCCACATCCTACTTGCACTTGTGCGTTCACGTCTCCTCATACTCAACAGTTCTCGCCAAAGTAAAGGATGAGAAACATCGGTGCGTGGAGTGATTTGAAGGAACGCAGAAGGCAGAATGTCAGGGAAAGAAGGGTGACACAGCCAAAAGGAGGTCTGAAAGTCCCTCATCATCCTTGTTTGATGCTTTTTTGCCTTAATGTCAGATGCAGGATTCATACCTGCGAGTATGTAGATTTATAAGATATATAATAGATATCCCAGTATATTTATATCACGTCTGTATGCTTATTTCTGTGAGTATCAGTGTGTCTATACACGATGTATCCAGCATTGCATTCGGAGGGGATAGGGAAACATTGCTGCCAATTAGTCGTTATGTTGTTTCTGTGTTTGGACCAACACAAAGAATGTGTTGGGTTTGTTTTTTTACCTGGATGTTAAAATGACGACTTTATCACTACCTGAGAGCGTGCAGAGAAAATTAGCAATTTGGAGTTTTACAGGTGATGAGAATGAATATGGATGTCCTTTTGTTGGAATCTGACCAGATGGTCATTTGCTGACGTGATGGAGTTAAGGCTTGTGTGAGTCTGTTTGCGTGGCTGGTTGTGTGTTTGGTCATGAGTAAGCAGGAAAGAGGTGGCAGGAAGCTAAAGGTGTTGTCATATGTGTTGTGCGCATTCACTCCCTGACATCGGCACATCGTCGAGCGGTGTTTATAGGGTCCGATCAGCACAGATTAAATAAGTCACAGTCTGTTTAGGTGTTTGTTTTCTCACAGGGTAATATTATTAATAATTATTATTAAGAACATGAGTGTGGTTCTTTAGTAGGTAAGAGCAAGTTCCTGCAGGTCAGAAACTGAGCTTATCTGAAGACACCACAGCTCGGTGCAACAGTAGCCTGTGTGTTTGACCTGCTCTGTCGCAGGATGGAGCAGAGCTGCGGGGCCACCACACAGGCTTTCTACTGGTGGAATGGGAATCCAGGATTACTCTTGCAGTCACTTAGAATAAAAAAAAAAGATTCCTGTATGCATCAGCCTTTTACTTTTAATGATGTTGCTTTGTTTTTGTGGCTTCTTGTTCTGTCATAAGCTATAAAAACATTAATATTTAATTGCCATACAAACACGATACTGTAGCAATTGTTTCTTATTAAGAAAATTATTCAATTGATTGATTGCTGCCATTCTTTTTAAATGATGAAAAGAAAACCATGGGAAGTGTTTTCTTTAAACAGTTTGCGTACAGTTTATTTTTATATCATTCTGGTGGATGGTCTGGAAAATGAATCACGTGTTGATGACGATAATAGCTATAAGCATTACCACTCTTGTACATAATGTAATATTGGATTGTAAATTATAAATTTATCCAAGTCCTAATGATTGAAAAATAACCACTTGAGGTTGTTGAGTGAAACACTGAAGCACTGCAGGCCACATCCTCACGTTTTCATTCGTTCTATTTTTGCTCACTTGTTCCAACATTCTGTCACTTTTTTTAAATTGTGCACATTTATTGTTAAAAATTGAATCCCTTTGTACCAGCACTTTATTTCGTCAGGTTTTGAGGCAGACAGTGTGTGGGTTTGGTCATTGGCACAGTCACTTGTTGATTCTCTCCCATTGAGCCAAAACACAAACCCTCATTGTGCAGTAAGTCAATGTTGACCCCTCTCTAGAGGCATAATCAAACAAACTAGTCATTCTCTCCTTAATGTCCACGTGAGATTGAACTTATTTGTCTGATAAAGTCAAACGAAGGCCGATGTAGTCACATACGATGTGACGTGTTCAAAGAAAAATAAATGTGTCCTTATTTGACTCGGCCATTTCTAGGACTTCACCTCTGTTTCTTAGTAACTTTAATTACTAGCCTGAGAGCCTCAATGTTCGTCCCATGGTGGCCTAACTAGCTGGTTCCCATCAGGGCTTCTGTCAGCTTACTTTGTCGCAGACTGACTCCCTCTGAGAATAAATCTCTGGGCTTTAATTCATGTGTTTGTTCACAAATAAGAGCGATTATTCAAGGGAAAAAAACAACATGAAATGATTGTAATATTTGTAAATGATCTTGCTGTAATGTGTAAAATGTGTCCAAGTTATTTTTTATTATATTATTTTTATGAAAGTTTTTTTCCTCTTGACAGAGCTGAGGTGTCATTTTGTGAATAAATGCATTTAATAAGCAAACATCTATATATAAAACTATTATAGTATATCAGTATATTTTTCTTTTATTTCACTGTTCAGTACTGTAAAGTGTGTTAAAAATACAAATAAAGTAAGATTTTTATATTAAATGCAACACCATTGTCATGTTTTCTGCTTTTACAGTTTGTCAGCATTTTACTTTATTGTTTGTGTGTATTATTTTCATTAATAGTATTCATTCAATAGTCCAGGGGCTTCTGACTGTACCAAAGTGTATTATTATCTAGATGTTATAGGCAACCCCGCTTGGTCCTTATGGGCTTTTCAAGTCCCAGCTGGTTTTTAGTTTTAATCCTCTGTTGGGTACACATGCACACAAACTATTGTGAGATGGATAAAAACATATATGACCGCGTTAATGTTAGATTATTCTCACAGAACATATATGTCTGATTGTTAAAAAAAAGAGTATCCTTAAATGAGGTACTGTGCAAAAGTGTTAAGATTCATATCCATCACATAGTGCCATGTGGGACTCCTGCACAACAATGACCCCAAATATATAATCTATGTTTATGACTTCTTGTTCTGGAGGCAGATCGTGTGGCCTTCACAGAGCCCCGGTTTCAACATGATGGAGTCAGTTTGGGATTTAACGAAGAGACAATGAAACAGCCGAAATACACAGAAGAAGACCAAGATGACTGGAGCAGCCAACCTGCAAATATGAACTTAATTTAGGTTTTTCCTGTTTGACTGTATTTTGCACTGTGTTAAACGATTAATTAAAATAATTCATGCTATTATTATTGAAACGCACCGTCCTTCTACTTGTGCACAGACCTGCACATTTGATGAATAACTTTCAAATGTCACATCTCTATTTAGAAGTTGTTATTAAATATTGATATTACTCACAGTGTGTAAATAGTTCAGACTCTGACACGAGATGGCTGCATCCTCACCTGCACCCACAATCCTCCACTTCAGACAGGTGCCACCGCTCTCCGCCAATCACGAGCGCGAAACCAACCGTCGTCCAATCAGAGTGAAACAAGACGGAGCTGGGGGATGTACGCATGCGCGTTGTCGTTCCGGAAGTCGACGCAGGTCAAGATTAGCCGTTAGCTTGTCCTCTCAAGGAAGAACCGCTCACTGAAGCTGTCCGCGTCCCTTTCCGCCTCGTTTAACCCGGCGCGCTCACGGTATTGTTGCGTTTGCTTTAACAACATACGTGTGGTTTTTATTTTGCTGGTGTGTTTGTGTTTTGCACGGAGATATAGTTTTGGCGGAAGTTAACATTCACCCGTTAGCTCTTTGCCAAACGGAGTCATCGCCTTCTGTCAAGCAAGCTGGCGACTAATGGAGATGTTTAGGTTTGTCACTGAGTCTTTCTTGGATTTATCTACAGCATGGTTGTTGTTTACAGGCGGTTCCAGTGCATCTCGCTAACATCTGACCCAGTGTGGACCATCAGGATGTCCTGTCACGTCTACCATCACCTCCTCCTCCTGTTGTTGTTGTTGAGTGTTGGGGTCTCTGCGGTGGAAGTGCTAAGCCCTCGGGGTGTCTCTCTATCAAGTAAGCGTTGATAAAATCCACGAGGAAACTCCACAGTTGTATGTTGAACATTTGGTTCCCTTGGACAAATTAGATCTTCTAGGTTCATCAGAGACAGAGAGCCTTTTTTGAGCCTGTGTGCTGTTGGTGTTAGGCCAAACATTATTCTTTCATTAAGTATTTTAATGCAGCTTGTAACTGAATAATTCCAAGTCTGGCCAAATAAGTGTTTGCAGTTTAGATTGTTATCATTTAGACAACGTGATCATAGGCAATACTATTGTTTCTGATGTGTGGGTCTTTGGCCATTAGCCTATGTCTAATATCCTTTTTTAAAACATGGAAGCTACACTTGTACCTGAAAATAAATCTGTGGGACTTATCCTGACAACTCTGAATTATTTTAATATCACTTTCTGGTGGATGGTTACTAAACCAGGATTGTATTTAGTTCCTCTTGCTTCTAAAATGAACACAAGGTGTAATATCCCGGGGGATGCCCACGCTTTATTATTCATCTGTATATCTGATGAAAGCATAATCTCTGCTCTCTACAGTTTTGGAGCTGTCATGACATTTACCTTTTTCCTTTGTTCTCTCTCCGCGACAGAACGGCAGTTCTATGAAGAGGGCAAACCGTTTACTTGCCTGGATGGCTCCCGCACTATTCCCTTTGACAGAGTGAATGATGACTACTGTGACTGCCGGGACGGCTCAGATGAGCCAGGTTCGTACATCCTGCATCCTGGAGATACTCTTGGACTTCAGTATACTGAATTAAACAAAACAATGATTCATAAATGTAATGGTGGTCTTTTTTGTCAGTATCATTTACTAAGCTCCTTTGTATATTTGCTATCGCATTTAATTGCAGGCACTGCTGCTTGTCCCAACGGCAGCTTCCACTGCACCAATGCAGGTTTCAGACCGGCCTTCATCCCCTCCTCCCGCATTAACGACGGCATCTGTGGTATGAGTTTTAAGCTGTGCAGACTAGTTCCTTTTCAAGTTTTTTGTGTGGTCAGGATAATTTGTAATTTCTGTGATTTCTCTCCAGACTGTTGTGACACAACAGACGAGTATAACAGCGGTGCTGCCTGTCAAAACACCTGCAGGTGGGGATGCTTTTGGATTTATATCTAAAAACTTCTTTGTGCATGTTCCATACATTAAGTATCCAGATAATGTGAAATGGTTTGTTTGTGTTGATGAAAATGTGTTTAACGTGTAATTTGCAGGGAGCAGGGGCGCAAAGAGAGGGAGAGCCTGCAGAAGATGGCAGAGATCGCCAAGGAGGGTTTTTTGCTTAAACAACAACTAATCCAAGAGGCCAAGAGGGGCATAGAGGAGAAGAAGGTGTGGGGGGGAAAAAAAACATTGGGGGTATTTGTTAAGATCCAGAGCTCTGAAACACAGATTATTGCAGTGTCGAAATATTTAAATACTGAAGACATTTGAAGGTGTCTACACTTACTAAGTTATATTTATCTGTCTCACCTCTGTTTTGCTTATTAGGCAAAGAAAAACCGTAGTTATGACAGTATTATGTTGAGCACATCCTACTTTTATTCAGAATGGGTCTGGTTCTCATTAAGACACTAGATGCATCTGAAATCTGCGAGTAAGAAACAAATACTGGGTTTATTTTAGAGTATCAAAATATGTAGCATCTGATAAGATGCAGTTATTCTTTACTGTTGCCATTGTGAGATGTCTTGAATCAATTATTATCTCTATTATAGATGCCAATGTTTCATAAGTTATATTTTCCAGGTATTCCATAGATCTTACTTAAATTTGTCTTAACAGGCCAAACTTGTTGAAGTCGAGGTCAGGAAGAAGGAACTGGAAGAGAAGGTTGAGGCTCTGAGAACTGTAAAGGAGACTGCAGAGCAGCCAGAGAAAGAAGCTAAAGAGCGCCATCTGAAGGCATGGGAAGGTAAATGAAGATGTTAAAGTACATCATCTACTGTTTGCCCTGAATATCACGTTACAGATAGTATTGTCTATTTATCTTCTTTTTTTTTTTGTCATTTAGTTGCTTGAATGCTACAGATACTTATTTTAGAAATTATCTGATGAAAGAACTTCTTGCCAGAACAAAAAACACATCTATAGAAGCACATGTGTGATAAGAGTCACTGATAACAATTTATATTTGTTTCAGATCAAAAAGCTCTCATTCGTATGGAGAAGGACAAGGCAAGAATAGTTACCGTATTTCTTGAACTGGATGATGATGCTGATGGCTTGTGAGTATTAGTGACCCCCAGAGTTATTAGCATCCATAATGAGCGAAGAGTCATAGTGTAGTGAGGCTAACAGAAACAACATGAAGTTGTGCATAGAAGACAAGACATCATTTCAAAATCTGTTACCCTTTTATTGTAATTTGTCTTGTTCATCTCAGAGATCCTTATGTGTTCTGAGCAAAAATGGATTATGGCTCCATGCAAAGTTGGCTTTTCTTATCTACCCTTGAGTTGACTAACATAGTGAATTATTTACTTTTGTTTCTCAGCATCTCAGTGACTGAGCTTCTTTCCCATCCTGAGCTCAATCCAGATTCAGACGGTTCCTTCACCGAAGCAGAGGCTCAGGTAAATGTTTTCCTCTTGTGGTGTTCCAAAAAACCCTGCTGTTCCAGTGTGCTCATTAAATATAAGTACAAATTGAGAAGCTGAACAGATTCAAATGTGAGTTTTGTTTTTGGTTTGTTTAGGGATTATTGGGAGGAGTGCAAAGTGTGGACACAGTAGCATTTGAGGCTGTTTGGAATAACATCAAAGAAAAATACATATCAGAGGTAACAACATGGTAACAATTTCAGTACACTCATGTGTGAAAGCCTCTGCTCCACTAATGTGTGATTCTTTTGCCATCAGGCCTCCACAGACACACCAGCACCATTGGAGACTCCACAGGAGGAGATTAGGGAGCCAGTCTCCGACAACGACTCTGAGCAGTACCCTGAAGACGAGATCCCAGAGGATGAAGAGGAGGAGGATGAAGAGGACGAGGATGATGACACAGATGATGCAGACTACAAGGTAAGCCCACCGACTCTCTATCAAACTTGTACTGGATGACGCCAAGTTCGTTTCAGTGAGTCATTTTCATCTGTGATTGATATGCAGACCCCTCCTACAGTGGCGACTCCAGAAAAGAAGGATGACGACGATGAGGGCACTATGCCACCCTACGACCAAGAAACGCAAAACCTTATTGATGGTAAGTGAATGACTCAAGAAGTGCTCATCTCTGAGTGAGTGAGTCATGCAGTAAAATACCAGGGGAAAAAATAGAGATGTGATTTTGAATGTTAATCTGCCATCATAAAAACCCATTTTATCATTCTTGTCAAATAAATAAATGCTTATCTGGAAAACAATGGGATTTATTGAACAGCTATATTGCCTTTATATGAATGATGGTCGGTTGCTTTTTTAATACAAAAGCATTTATTCTGGGTA